CCTCATAAAGGTAGACCCCCCCCCCACACACATACAAACCCACCCACACACACACACCCCTACTCAAGCTTACAAGTGACAGCAAAGAGGAGTTCATGAAGAGGCACAGAAATGCTAAGACGAGCTCCTCAGAAGATGTTCAGGTGCTTGACTCCAAGGGAGTTCAACAAGATTTAGATACCTAAGAATCTCTGAGGATTGAGCCATATGTGACTTGCTCAAGATCATGTGGGAAGTCTGTGCAGAAAAAAGAACAGAATCCTAGCTCCAGGAGAGGCTCAATCCTCTGTCCTGTGTTACTGTGTGAAACTGGACCAGTGGTGGCCTGTGTTAAATGACTCTTGTGTTTACACTTCCAAAAATCAAGTTGTGCTAACTTGAGGCAACTTAGGGAGCCACTGCCTTTCCCTTGAAGCCTACTGTGCTCAAGAGGCTTTGGTTTACCATCTAAAGCAGGGGCAAGTAAAATATGGCCCACGAGCTGGATTCGGCCTGCCAGGCCATTCTGTTTGGCCCACAGGGCACCTAAAATGTTTAGAAAATTGATTTTTATCTGCTTCTGACTGCCTGTCAAACATGACAGGATCTAGGGACAGTAGGACCGAGGGGAAGCTGGCAGGACTCAGGAGCAAGGCCAGCCCAGCCCCAGCCCTCCAATGGAAGCCTCTGCCTGGCCTGGATTTCACTGCTTCCCCGCACACCTGCTCCAGCACCATGTGGCCCTGGGCTGCATTACTGGACCATGCTGGTACGCTGCGGCCAGGAGCAGGAGAGGGGTGTGTGTGTGCGCGCAATGAGGGAGGGGGAGAGAGAAACAGCAATAAGGGGAGAGAGAGAGAGAGAGAGAGTGTGTGTGTGTGCGCGTGTGTAGTGAGGGCTTCTGCCTGCACTGACTTTCACTGCTTCCCTGTATGCCTGCTCCAGCACCACATGGCCCCAGGCTGCATCGCTGAACTACGGGAGCACAGGGCCATGCCAACACTCTGCGGGCAGGAGCGGGAGAGGGGGGGTGTGTGTGTGTGTGTGTGCGTGCGTGCGTGCGTGCGCGCGCACGCAATGAGGGAGGGGGAGAGAGTGACAGAGCAACGAGGGAAGGAGAGAGAGAGTGTGTGTGTGTAGTGAGGGAGGCACAGTGTGCGTGCGTGTGTTTGTTCATAGGGCGAATCCAACAAGCACACCCCACCACACATGCATCCACACCTCTCCTCGCATTGCCATAGATGCAAACCCACACCCCCAACCACCCTCCCCACCAGCCACCTCCCCCACAAACCCCATTCCCACCCACACCTCACATATCCACAGACACCCACATGCTCCCACACCCCACATACCCACACCCCCACAAACCTATACCCCCCCATTTCCCCCACAGTATACAAAAGTAAGACTTCATTTTAAGTTATTACGCATACCTCCGCATACTACACAAATGCATGTAAATCAGGACAAAATATTTTCTGAAATCACATTAATAAATGTTGTAGATGTTTGGTTTTTAGAATATAATTTGGTATTTTTCTGGTTCTGAGATGGCTAAAACCCTTGCTGAAAGGAGTATTTCTGGGGGTAGGGGGAGGGACCTCTGGTGGCAAAGGTTGGGGGGGTGGGACTTCCAGTCCCAAGATGGCAACCAGGGGGTGGGGGACCTGTCAAGGGGCAGGGCTACTCATGCAACCTTTGACAGCTTACTAAACTTGGTAAGCGGCCCTCCACTCAAAATAACTGCCCACCCTGATCTAAAGCAAGCTTGTGCCCTAACATTTACAAAGGATGCATTCAGCTCAACTTGAAGGTTATTCACTACAGCAATGTCCATTGGAGCCTGCCAAGATCTTGACATTGTAGAGATGCAACCTGCCTTATGTCTCTGAATGGAGTGCCAACAACAATGCAAGTGTTAACAGTCACTGCTAATTAGCATGTGCAAAATAAGGAAAGGTCTCATTGCACTGATATACACACTTGTGGAAGTGGGTTCTCATTTTGAGGAGCATCACCATTTTCTTCCTGCCTTCATATGTTCCGTCCTGCCCTCAACACTGCAGTTCCTAGTCAATCTTGGACAACACCATTAAATGGGTGGGGCACAAGGGAATAAGCGAAGATTAGATTGCAAACTGGTTGGCATGAGCAGCAAAGTTATGGCACTAGAAGCTTGGGCTACAGTGATTTTGTACCTCCATGATTTAACAATACCAAAGCAACAACTAAGGGTTTGCTCAGTTGTTTTGGTCCATCGCATCAGAAGAACTAGTTTTAGTTTCCCTTGAAGAGTCTGCAGTGTAGCAACTGTCACAAGACTTTTTGGCCATTCTCTCTCAAAGGCTTCCTCATTCAAGTGGTAATCCTTATTAGGCCTGCGTGAATAGGGAAGTATTTGATTTGGATTCAGCTGATTTGGAGGATAGTGATTCGATTTGGTGATTCAAATCACTATCCCCATTCAATTCAGCCGAATCAGAACTGGAGATTCAGGGCTAATTCAGAGATTCGGATTGCCCGGGGAGAGGCAGGCACAGCGGGGTGGCTGCAAGTTCTCCTGCAGCTCCTCCAGCTGTGCCTGCCTCTCCCCATGTCAGGGGAGCTGTGGGAGAAGCCTCCATGGCTGCCATGCCTGGCCCCATTCCCCACCCTGCCCCCGCCTCCCAGCACCTAAAAAAAAAGCCCCGCATTTACTGGAGGCAGCAGTGGGGATCAGGGCCTCTGGGGGTTGTGGCAGAGACCCACCATGCAGTATGGGGAAATGGGAATGATTCCCCCCACCTGGCATCCGTGCAGCAGCTGCCCCATGGCACAGGTGCAGCACGGCTCATCAGGGTGCTGCACGCTGCCTGTGAGCTGGGGCCGCTCCAGCCACAGCCCAGCACTGCTCAGTCCCAGTGGCCCCAGCTCCCAGCACCCTGCCGAGCTGTGCTACACCCGCACCATGGGACAGGTACTGCATGGCTGCCAAGCTGGGGCGGGGATGATCACCCCTGCCCCCCGCTGCACAGGGGGGCTCTGCCACAAGCACCCAGAGGCCCCAATCATCTCTGCTGCAGCCGGTGAGTGCGGGACTTTTTTTTAAGTGCCAGGACGCTGGGGCCAGGCAGGGCAGCCATGGGGGCTTCTGCTACAGCTCTCCCCACTTGGGGAGAGGCAGGCAGAGCCAGAGGAGCCACAGGAGAACCTGCAGCCACCTGGCTGTGCCTGCCTCTCCCCAGCCAATCTGAATCTCCAAATCAGTCCAAATCTTTTCTGAATCAATTCAGAGGATTTGGATTCGACTCGGATTCAGAGATTCGGTTGCCGAATTGAGCTGAATCTCCCCTGAACTGAATTGCTGACCAAAACTTCACACAGGCCTAATCCTTATTTTA